TGGGGCACAGCTTCAGGCCCTCTGGCTTCAAAGCTCATCCTCTGTCCCATTGCACTATCCTGCCTCATGTGAAACCCATCCTCCATGAGAAATGATGAGGTTCAAAGGCTATGTTCACATTGCAGCTGGGCAGGGCCTGTCTTGGATTCCAGTTCAGATGCTGTGACTCAAATTCTGGCCACTTCCACTGTTGTGTGCTGCCTCCCAGTGCCCGTATGGCAGAAGCACACTAGAGGCAAGCAGCAGTGGATGGTGGAAAGGAAGCAGAGGCAGCCTGCAGGCCACACCCCTTCACCAAGTGCTCCAAAGCGGCAGGTGTGGCAGCTTCTACACAGCACTGTGTATGTCACTCATGTGCACAGTTGTGATGTACTTGGACACCTCACAAATCCTCGAATTCAATAGATCTAAGTTTGCATTCTTACACTCCAAACTTGTCCTTCCCAGTAACACAAGCCAGAAATCCAGATGACCCTTGACATCTCGCTCTTCCTTTCAGTCTGTCATCAACACAGAAGCCTGAATGGTGGCAGAGGAAGGTGACAAAAAAAAAAAAAAAAAAAACACCTAATAGACCTGAGCAACAGTGGTGAAAGCAGAGGGCCAGGACAATAGCTCAGGGTCAAAGCCAACAAACAAATTGAGCTCAGAAGGCTCTAGTTATAAAACCAGGAGTAGGACTGGGGGTGTAGCTCAATAGTAGGGTGTGTGTATAGCATTCACAGGGCCCAAGGTTCAATGATGGCATCACAAAGCAAGAGAAGAGGAGAGGAGAGGAGAGGAGAGGGGAGGGGAGGGGAGGGGAGAAGAAAAGGAAAAGAAAGAAAAGGAGGGAAGGGGGAAGGAGGAAGGGGAAGGGGAAGGCGAAGGGGAAGGGGAAGGGAAACTCCTGGAATAGAAAGAGGCCCAAACACAGCTTGAAATGCTTGGACTATGTGTGTGAGTCAGAGAGCTGAGCTCCTGCACAGCTCTACCCCATCCATGGCATGGCTTTGTCAAATGGCCTAAACTTGAAGGGCCTCAATTTCCCCATCTGTAAAGTAAATATGACAAGGCCTATCCAATAGAGCTGTTGTAAGGATCAATTAAAATGTTTGTTTTGTAAACTGTAAAGCACACAGGAGAAGGGGGTTGTTAATCTAGAAAATCCCCCACCTCAGAAGACCTATCTTTCCTTCCCCCAGGTAGTACTGGGGTTTTGAACTCAGGGCCTCATGCTTGGTAAGCAGGTGCTCTACCACTTGAGCCACCCTGCCAGCCCTTTTTTTGTGCTGGATATTTTTGAGATAGGGTCTTGTGAACTATTTGCACTGGCTGGCTTCAAACCTCAATCCTCCTGATCTCTGCCTCCGGAGTAGCTAGGATTACAGGCGTGAGCAACTGGCGCCTGGCCCTCTCTTTCCCTTGTCAAGCTGAATACTGGGTCAATAAGATACCCTGTTTTATTTTCAAAGAGTGCCATCTTTTTTGTTTGCTTTGTTTTAATTGACAAGTAAAAGTTGGGGTTTCTTTTAATAATGGTGAAATATTTATAACAAAATTTGTCATTTAAACCTTGTTTTGTTTTTTGAGACAGGGTCTTGTTATGTAACTCAGGCTGGTCTCAGACTAATGAACCTTCTGCCTCAGTCTCCCAAGTGCTGTTATTACAGGTGTACACCACCATGTGGCTTAAATCATTTTTAAGTATAAATTCAATGGTATTAATTACATTCACGATGTTATGCAATCATCATCTGTATCTATTTCAAAAACTTGTTAATCATTCCAAACAGGAACTCTGTACCTATTAAGCAATCATTTCCTAGTCCCCTTCTCCAGCTTCTGATAACTCTAATCTCTCTGTTTCTATGAATTTAACTATTCTCAATATTTCAGTGAAGTAGAATCATACAATGTCCTTTCTTGTCTGGCTTATTTCATGTAGCACAATGTCTTCAAGGTTCATCCATGGCATAGCCTGAGTCAGAACTTCATTCCTTTTTATGGCTGAATAATATTCCATTGTATATGTGTACCATATTTTGTTTAGCCATTCATCTGTGGATAAGGACTTGGGTTGCTTCCTCCTTTTGTCTACTATGACTAATACTTCAATGAACAATGGTGTACAAATATCTGTGTGAGTCCCTGCTCTTAATTCTTTTGGATCTGTGCCTAGAGTATCATTAGTTTTTAACCAATGTTTTGACAATACACTGTGACAGGAAAAAGAGCCCTTGGGAACAGGGCCCAGTGTCTTTGAGTATGGGAGGGAGGGGGAAGAGATGGGGGCAAGTTTCTGTGTGACTGTGATTAGAATAATAACAGCTACTCTGTGCTGATTGCTGATTGCAAAACACTGCACATAACACTATATGGGGGAAATATCCCCATTTTTTTTGTGGTACTAGGGTTTGAACTCAGGGCCTTTACCTTAAGCCACTCCACCAGCCCTATTTTTTTTTTTTGTAATGGGTATTTTTGAGATAGGGTCTCATGAGCTAGTTGCTTGGGGTGACTTCAAATCACAATCCTCCTGATCTCTGCCTCCCGAGTACTTAGGATTACAAATATGAGCCACCGGTCCAGCAATTCCCTTTTTTTTTTTTTTTTTGAGATGTAGTCTCACTGGCTGGAAATTCAAGATCCTGCTGCCTCAGTCACCCAAATGCTGGGATTATAGGTGTGCACTACTACACCCAGCTGTCACTCTCATTTTTATGAGAAGGGAAATGGTTTTACTAAGGTCACTAAGGCAGGGATGTGACTTCTGAGAAAAGTTCCCTCATACACCAAGAAGACATTAAATTTTCCTTCTTTCCCTCCTCCCTTTCTTCCTTTCCCCCCCATTTTTATGTAAAGAGAGTAGCTCACTGGATTTCAGATACCACTGAACTAGAATTTTGTAGTGCAATTCTGTACTTTCAGAATAGAACAAGTTCTGGAAATAAAAACTATGGGTACAGAAGAAAGGTGGTAGGTGCCAGAAGCTATGGTCAAGGGGAGGGATTGACTATAGAGGGTTTGGGAAACTTTTCAAGTGACCTATATCTTAATTGTGGGAGTCATTGTGCAACAGTATGCATTTTTTCCAAACTCACAGAACTGTACAATAAAAAGGGTCAATTTTGCTGTGTAATTATACCTGACTGGTTTGTCTCTTTCTTTTTGGTTTTGTTTTTAGTGTGGTTCTGAGGATTGAACTCAGGACCTTACTCATGCTAGGCAAGTGCTCTACCACTGAGCTACACCTCTAGCAAACACCTCATTTAAAAGAAAGAAAGAATAAATCAATGGGGGAAAAAACCTAAAGACTAGATTCTAACATTTTTGCATACCTGAGAACTTTGCCAGTGATAGCCCCTCTAAGTAATTAGCACCAATATATATTTTTTCATTCATTATAAATGAAAGCTCTTGAATCTATTACCCAATCCATGGACCAGAAGTACTAAAAATTAAATCTCCCTATGGTGCCCCCAGTACCACAAAAAACAAAAAAACCCCAAAACTCCCTATAGGCTCCTCTCTGATTCCTGCCTCCTGGCCCACTTTATCCCCAAGTAGTCATTATTTTGACTCTTGTGTCCTCATTCCCTTGGCAATATATATATATATTTGAGACAGGGTCTCCCTTTGCAGCCCAGGCTGGCCTCTGCCTCCCGAATATGGTTTACAGGGGGCACCACCACACCTGGCTTCCCTTGCTTTATTTATTTGGCAGTACAGGGGCTTGAACTCAGGGCCTACACCTTGAGACACTCCACCAGCCCTTTTTTGTGAAGGCTTTTTTTCAAGATAGAGTCTTGCAAACCATTTGTTTGGGGCTGACTTCAAACCTCAATCCTCCTGATCTCTGCTAGGATCATCATTGGTAATTTGGGACTTCTATGAACAATATTTCTACTCACGTTCTCCTGCATATTGCTTCCTGGAGTGGCTGTGCCCTAGAAATGGACTTGCTGGGTCTGAGAGTACAGGGCAGTGCAAGGGCCACCATAGGGTATTTGGTGCAAACTGCACACCTATGTGATCTCCTCCCACATTCTTTATCTCCCTGTGTACCCATTCATTCTTTTTAGCCTCCCATTTGGAAAAAGTTACCTTTTTTGTTTTGTTTTTGAGACCAGGTCTTGCTATGTAACCCAGGCTGGCTTTTAACTCAGTTCTCCCGCCTCAGCTTCCCCAGAGCTGGGATTAGGGCATGCAGCACCACACCTGGCTAGGACAGGTACCATTAACTCCATAGATGAGGCTGAGAGAAGGAAAGAGCCCTGCCAAAAATTCGAATGGTTTGTGCCAACTGCCTGAGCAAACAACTCCCCCTCAGCAAAACTGTTCAGTTGCTAAGTTGTTTTTAAAGGGAGCAGGAACCCAGGGGTAGTCAGAACCGGGCCCTCCTGCCACGCAACAGCGTGGCCTCCTGCAGAGACCTCCTAGGGATGTAGTAATCACTGGTCACCTCTTGAGCCAGGGTGTGTATTTCAAGGCTGCACAGCCGGACCCTCTTCTCCACCCTACTCGGGGCCCCAGAGCTGAGATATTTACTTGTCTTCACCTGTGGCAGACAGCCCAGGCCTCCAGTTCCGTCTCAGAGAAAAGGAAGAAATCAGAGCCTTAGCCATATGCCCAGGGAAGAATATTTGCTGAGCAGCTGTATGTGGCAGGCCCTTGCTGAGCACCGGGAACACAGCGGGCAAGCCTAGACCCTGTCCCCAAGGTTAGAGGCTTAAAAAAGGAGACAGAGGACGAAAAACCAACAGCCCACGGACTACTGCGATAAGGAAGGAGTACAGGGAATGGCTCCACATAACAGAAGCCAGACGGGCTTAGGGGTCAGGGAAGGCCTCCCAGGAGACCGGCCCTTTGCAGGCTGGAGCTTAGGGACTGCTAGGCTACCGGCCCATTGAACAGAGCGGGAGACTGAGCCCGGCACCCTTGCCGGGCCCGCCAGGCCTGGTTCGCTGGGAACGGCCGGCACAGCGCCCGCCCAGCGCTCAAGGGCGGGGCCTCGGGCCAGGTGCGCGGCGCGGCGCTTCGCGGAGACAGGAAGTGTGTCCCCAGCGGCGGCCCGTGCCGCGCTCCCGCGAGACGCTCACCTGCGCCCCAGGTGAGCGGTAAGGGGGGGTGGAGGAGGGCTGAACCGCAGGCGGCTCACCTGGCGGAACAGGTAAACCCCGCGCGGGCCGGAGGGGCCGCGAACCTGGGCGGCGTCAGTGCGGGGACCCCCTGCCCCGGAGCTGCACCTGGACGGGCAGAGTCGGGGTCCGGGTTCCTCGGGGGCCACCCACCCACTTCCGGGGTGTGCGGCCCGGCCGGGGAGCGGCCTGAGCGGGCGCCGGGGCTGGGCGGGCAGAGTGGGGCGAGGGAGCCGTGCTCGCCCTCGGGGCTGCGGGGCGGGGAGGGGGCGCGCTCACTCCAAGGAACGGTGTCAGGACCCGGGAGCGGCTGGAGCCGCCCGCGGGCGAGGGCCCTTGCAGCCGGAGAGGGTGGTGCCCGCCCCGAGGGCAGGGCTGGCGGAGAGGCCGTGCTGGTCCGCGGGTAGTGCCCGGCTCTGGCTCTCCTGTGTCCCCGCGCCTGAGTGGGGGCGTCTTGGGCAGCGCCTCGCGGGTAGGAGACCCAGGTGCACCGATGCCCCGCGCCGGGGCCGACGGCTGGTCGTGTGTGCGAGGCTTGGCTGGACACAGGGCAGAGGCTTTTGCGGCAAGTCTGCCCTGGGAGGAGGAGACCGTGGACAGGCGGACACCTGAGTGTGTGTTCCCCGGTGGAAAGGTGAAGCATCAATGAGAAGTCGGGGGAGGGTGGGCAGGACCCTCCCCCCCCCCCCCCCCCCCCCCCACACACCCACAGGCCCCAGGGAACAACCCTGTGGTGCCATAGAGTGCCCAGTGATGAGCCTCCCCCAACACACACACCAGCTGCCAGGCTCTGTGCTAAACCCCCTGTACCCAGAATTTCATTTAAACCTGGAGGGGGTTGGCTGTGAAGATACTAATCTCTCCATTTTTAACAGATGAGGAAACTGAGGCCAAGAGACTTGCCCCAGGCCAAAATACAGGTGGAAGCTTTCACTAAACCAAGTGACCAGTGTTACTAGGGTTGGGAGTGGGGGGCAGCAGAAAGGAAAGATGTAGCCTGGAAGACTTGTGTAAAGGAAAACAGTTCAGGCACTATCTTTTTTTTTTTTTTTTTTTTTGGTAAGACTGGGCTTTGAACTCAGGGATTCCCACTTGCGAAGCGGGCACTCTACTGTTTGAGCCACATCTCCAGTTCATTTTCTTCTGGTTATCTGGTTATTTCAGAGATGGGGGGGTCTCTCATACTATTTGTCTAGGCTGGCCTTGACTTGTAATCCTCCTGGTCTCAACCTCCAAGTAGCTAAGATTACAGGTGAGTCACTGTCTTTATCCCAGGTCTTGCATGCCTTTCCCCATCCCATCCAGGCTGGAGATGTACCACAGAGCAGCCTGGCCAACCACAGTACAAATCCCCATCCGTCCCTACCCAGCTTGGTGTCTTGTGCAAAAGTCACTTTCACCTCTCTAAGCTTCAGATTCCTGATCTGCAAAGCGGAGAGTTACTAACAGGGCAATAGTGATGGTTAAATTAGGTGAAAGTCCTCCTAGGCTACAGCCTGTTTCTGACCCATTCACTGCCATTTCCTTAACATGTAGTACAGTGCTAGACTCAACAATAAATATGCTGGATGAATTTAAACAACAGTAGCAAGTACTAAAGCCTTGGAGCTGGGGAAGGAGACAGTGGCCCAGCCCGTCATCATTAACCCCTCACACTCCTACAAATCCTGGTACCACCAATACTGTGGACACTCCCACCCTCTTGATCAAGGCCTGGATCTGGAAGACTTGAGCCCCCAAGGTGGGCCCTCCTAGGGCACAGGCTTGTCTGTGCAGCTGGCAGCTTTGCCCCTTTCCTCCCAAGTAACAAGTGGCATGGGTTAATGGATAATGGTCCTCTTTTGAGCACTGGGAGGGGCGATGGATGAGAGTCAGGGGCCAGACAGATTTGGTATAAATAGAAGTGTGATTTTGGACAACTTGTTTAACTTCTCTGCTTCAGGATAGTGGTAACAATACTACAGAGAGGCTGGTGAGAATCGATTTATTACAGATAAAGCACTTGGAGCAGCGTAAGCCATCAATAATCATTTTTAGTAGAAGGCCGCCTCCTGAGGTTCAGGAGCGCATCTGTTTTACTGTCACATCCATAGAATTTGGGACAGTGCCTGGCACATAGTAGGTCCCAGAATGTATTTGTGCACTGAGTGAATGAATGAATCCGTGACCAACCCCATGTTGCTCAGACGAAGGCAAAGATTTTTAATCATGTGCTTCTGGGTTGTGAAGGACTTTATTATTTATTTTTTTGGCAGTATTGGAGTTTGAACTCAGGCCCCATGCTTGCTAGATAGGTACCATGAGGGATTTTAAAGTCACTTATTTCAACTTCAGTTTGTACACCTTTGAAAATGGGATTACATGAGCCTCTCCTAGAAGACTGTTGGTCCCCAATCTGGTCAGCCTAGGACCTAAGTTCTTTGTCTGTCTATGCAGTGGTCCTGGTGTTCCCTCAGGTTGCATAGAATGTGTCTGTTCCCTGAAGCACCATTGAACCTGACCCTGTTCTGGACACTGAGGCAGAAAGGAGGCTCATGTCCTTGGGGAGATAGACTTATCCTAAAACGATGGGTACAAGGCTGACCCAGATGTCAGCGAGCCTAGCAGGAGGCTATGGGAGAGGTGCTCCTATGTGACTAGGGATCTTTGAGGTCCTTGGAGGAGAGCTGAGTGGGGTCTCCAAGTGGACTGAAAGTTGCAGGAATAAAGAACTCTTGTGTTCCCCTCTCCTCACCCATAGTTAACATTCCCTTCCTCCTGCCCTCTCTGTATATACACATGTGCCTTCTAGATGTGTGTTGGTTAGTTAGTTTGAACCATTTGAGATTAGGTTTCAGATAGCATGTCTCTTTATCCCTAAATGTTTTAGTGTATATTTCCTAAGAACAAAAACATTTGTCTTGCTGGGCATAGAGATGTACATCTGTAATCCCAGCACTGAGAAGACTGAGGCAGGAGAGCTGAGTTCAAGGCCAGCCTGGGCTAGAGAGCTAAACCCTGTCTCAAAAAACCAAAATGGTAGCTGGGAGCCAGGGGCTCACTCTTGTAATCCTAGCTACTTGGGAGGCCAAGATTAGGAGGATTGCAATTTGAGGCCAACCCAGGCAAACAGTTGAAGAGACCCCCATCTCCAAAATAACCAGAGCAAAATGGACTGGAGGAGTGGCTCAAGTGGTAGAGCACCTGCTTTGCAAGTCTGAAGCCCAGAGTTCAAATACCAGTCTCACCAAAAACAAACAAACGAACAAATAAACCAAATCCCTCCATTGTTTTAGTTGTAGTAATCAAATTCAGGAAATTAACATTGACACAATACTACAAATAATGTACAGTCTGTTGTCTGATTTCACTAATTATCCATACTGTCCAGTTTCCAGTTTTTCCTCCTGACCCCTGATCCTGTTCAGGATCATATTGCATTAGTTGTCTTGTCTCTCAAGCTGGTCTCATATCCACACTACACATTTTGAGCAGGAACGCTTTCTGAGTGATGTCATATCCTCCTTGGTGCCTAGTGTCAAGAGACAGTTGATCTTATTTCATCCCATTATTGGTGATATTCACTTTAATCATTCGATTAAAATGCTATCTGCCAGGTTTTTCCAGACTCAGAGTTTTTAGCAATTTCACTGACTTCAACAAGTAGTAGGGAAGAGCTGGTGGGTGGCTCAAATGTAGATAACCTGCTTAGCAAGCATGAGACCCTGAGTTCAAATTCCAGTGCCACCAAAAACAAAGAAGAAAGAAAGAACAAAAAGAAAGAACAAGTAGTAGGAAAGAGGTAGCAGAATGGCACCTTGACAGTGTTCAGGTGGAGGTGATGGTATTTGTGGGAGTTGGCATTGTCCTGCCTGAGGCCCATAGTTTATAAGGAGCAGAACTGGAACTAGAACATAGCTGTCCTGCTGCCTAGTCCCCTGCTCCTCACACATCGCTAGTTTTAAGGACCCCAGTGTTGCTAAATCAGTGATAAAAAAAAAATATGGGATCAGTTTTTTTGGGGTTTTTTTGGCAGTACTGGGGTTTGAACCCAGAGCGTCACACTTGCTGGGGTGGGGGGGCACTCTTACCACTTGAGCCACTCCTCCAGCCCTATTTTCTGTGGTGGGTTTTTTCAAAATGGGCCTCATGAACTGTTTGCTCAGGCTGGCTTTGAACCTCAATCTTCCTAATCTCTGCCTGGCTAGGGATCAGTATTTCAGATCAGGTCTCTTACTGCTTAGCCAACCCTCACATGTGACCAAGGACCAGCCATCTTCTCTGACCCCTCAGGCAGTAATTTACTCCAATAATATATCAGATATCCTATATGAACCATCATATGTTTATATTTATATAATATATATAAGTATGTATTAAATATATTTATATATAATTTTTTTGAGATAGCATCTCAATATGTAGCTTGGGCTGGCGTGGAACTTGAAATCCTCTCACTGCATCCTCCTGAGTTGAGTGCTGGAATTAAAGGTGTGAACCACCATGCCCAGCAAAACTTCTAGGTTTTGTTTTTTGAGAACTTATTTGGAGGTTTTAGCAGGGGAACACAACTTCTTCTGTACCCTTGATCAAAGAATGGTCCTCCTCTATCAGGGATGGTTGTCTGTTTGAGTGTGAAACTTCCAGAGGGATGTACATGGAGCAGTGAGGGAAGAAGGGCATACCCGCCTAGCCAGTCAAATCCACTGAGCCAACCATGGCAATCAGTGGGGTGACAGATGTCTCAGCCAGATCGCCCTCCCACCCTGTGCTTTGTCTGTTTATTTAGTTTGGGTGGTACTGGGGTTTGAACTCAGGGCCTCACAGTCACTAGGCTGGCACTCTACTACTTGAGCCACCCCTTTTTTGTATTGGGTATTTTTGAGATAGGGTCTTGAGTACTATTTGCCCAGGCCGGTTTCAAACCATGTTCCTCCTGATCCCTGCCTCCTGAGTAGATAGGATTATAGGCATAAGCCAGCTGCACCCAGCCTGTTTTTTGTTTTTTTGAGACAGGGTCTCACCATATAGCCCAGGTTGGCCTTAAACTCACAATCTTCCTATTTCAGCCTTCTAAGTGCTGGAATTACAGACATGTGCCACTATGCCTGGCTCTTTTATAAGCTTTTAAACATCTATTTTTCCTATAAAACCATTTGTAAATCATCATCTACAGGGTCTGTAGTTCTGATTTAGCTTTGGTTTTACAGTGCCTAACACAGGGCCAAGCTCAGTGTTTATGAGTGAATAAATCTTAGCTCTGAGCTTCCTAGCAACCAAGTCAAAAAACAGAATGAAGATGTATTTTTGTGGCTCAGTTTTCTTGTACGTCAAAGGTATCAAAACTGCTTAGTGTTAAATGTTGCTGGGGATGGAACCCGGGGTCTTGTGCATGCTAGGCAAGCACTCTACCATTGAGCTACATTCCTGATCTCATGTTTAAGTTTTGAGAATCTGCCATAGGGTTTTTCCCTGTAGCTTCATCATTTAAAATTCCCACCAACAATGCACAATTTCTCTGTATCCTTGCTAACACTTGTTATTTCTGGGCTTTTTTTTTTTTTTTTTTTTTTTAATAATACCCATTCAATGGATGAGAAGTCCTGGAGAATTTGAAATCCAAGTTGGGGCACAGAGAGAACTTTCTATTTGGGGAGAGAAGGGTGCCACACATGAGAGTTTATGGCACACTCGGCCCATCCACATCACAGGCCTCTGAAGTGTGAAGCTCTTTTGAGTCAGCCCAGGGGCTTGACCCTGACCTCTGCTCCTGACTTCATCCTGGCTTCTCCCCACAGGTGCCTGACTGCAGCAAACCATGCAATGAGCCATGCCCCGGCCGGGACAGACCCGCCCATCATCTGGGCCACCTCGCTTGGGACCCTGGGAGCGGCGCACGGAGCTATGCCTGGAGACCTATAATGAGCCGCCGCACCTCCCACAACCCCCGCCAGGCCGCCGCACCCGTAGGCCAGACCCCAAGGACCCTGGCCACCACGGGCCCGAGAGCATCACCTTCATCTCTGGCTCCGCAGAGCCGGCCACGGAGCCCCCGGCTTGCTGCTTGCTTTGGCGCCCGTGGGGATGGGACTGGTGCCGCGCTGCCTTCTGCTTCCGCCGCTGCCGGGATTGCCTCCAGCGCTGTGGAGCCTGTGTGCGGGGTTGCAGCCCTTGCTTGTCTGCTGGGGACTCCACTGAGGGGGCTGCCGAAGTCAACTGGACCAAGGAGCACAATGGCGTGCCCCCGAGCCCTGACCGTGCTCCTCCGAGCCGCAGGGATGGCCAGAGGCTCAAGTCCACCATGGGCAGCAGCTTCAGCTACCCTGACGTCAAGCTCAAAGGCATCCCCGTATACCCCTACCGCAGCGCCACCTCCCCAGCCCCTGATACGGACTCCTGCTGCAAGGAGCCTCTGCCTGAGCCCCCTCCCATGCGGCACAGCTTGCCTAGCACCCTGGCCAGCAGTCCTCGCGGCTCTGAGGAGTACTACTCTTTCCACGAATCGGACCTGGACCTGCCCGAGATGGGCAGTGGCTCCATGTCCAGCCGGGAGATTGACGTGCTCATCTTCAAGAAACTGACCGAGCTCTTCAGCGTGCACCAGATCGACGAGCTGGCCAAGTGCACATCAGACACCGTGTTCCTGGAGAAGACCAGTAAGATCTCCGACCTGATCAGCAGCATCACGCAGGACTACCACCTGGATGAGCAGGATGCCGAGGGCCGCCTGGTGCGCGGCATCATTCGCATCAGTACCCGGAAGAGCCGCACTCGCCCGCAGACCTCAGAGGGACGCTCTGCCCGGGCTGCTGGCCCCGCTGCTGCTGCCCCTGACAGTGGTCACGAGACCATGGTGGGCTCAGGTCTCAGCCAGGACGGTAGGTGGGCCAGAGGGGCAGAGAAGTAGAGCTCTGGCCACAGGAAGGTTGGACTGGGGTCTTTAGCCACTGTGGGCCCTCCCTTTGGCAAATTTCTGCTTTACGTCCTCCTCTCTCAACTCCCCAGCCCACCAAACTAGCATTCTGGTCCTTTCCAGTGAGGTCTGAGAAAGGCTGAGAGGAACATGAGGACTCTGGGGGCTCTGGCCATTGCAGTTTCCAGAAAGCACAAAGCTCACCTAACCGGCTACTCTTCTCTGCTGCTACCACCTACCAGAATAGGGGTAACAGGGGCCCGTAAGAATTTGAACCTCTGACCTGAAACACACACACACACACTCACTCTCTCTCTCTCTCTCTCTCTCTCTTTGGGGATGGTAATTTGAGACATGGTATAACGCAGGCTGATTGAACTTTGCTGTGTAACCCAGACTGGCCTTGAACTCAAGATCCTTCTGCCTCAGCCTCCCAAGTGTTGGGATTACAGCTGCATACTACTATACCAGCTTTGTGTCCTTGTTTTAAGAGTTATTTCTCTAGCACTGCAGAGATGAGTGGCTCCTCCTTTGCTGAGATGCACATAGAAACGGGGTAGGGGCTGAAAGGATGTGATAATGACCACTGCCCCTCATATTCCTTCCATAGAACTGACAGTGCAGATCTCCCAGGAGACGACAGCAGATGCCATCGCCCGGAAGCTGAGGCCATATGGAGCCCCAGGTGTGGTCCTGACTTGATAAGTACAGAGGGTGGGAGACTACCCTAGGCGCTCCTCACATGCCCCTCTCCCAGCTTCCTCTTGGGGTGGATGAGGATGGGATCAGATAGGGACAGAGTGGCCACATCTACCCATCCTGTAAGTGGGCTTGAAGCAAGAGGCAGGTGTCCAGAAGAGATGAGCTAGAAGTGATTCAACCCCAAGCTCTAAGCTCTAAAACCCAGTCACCTGAAAGTTGGAGGGCAAGTGGTCCAACCTGCTGCTGCAAAGACCACCTGTGGTTTCTACTGTGGTCCCCTAGGAGCAGAGTCATTACCCTTTTACAGAGGTTCACTGGCCAAAACTGTGGGTTACCCAGGCAGGATGACTGACCAGGCTCAAGCCCTGCTGTTTCTTCTCAGCAGGCTTCTCCCTGGCTGTGGGCCCTAGATAAGCTCCTTCCCCTCTCTGAGGCTCTGCTTCCTCCCCTAACCAGGGTACCCAGCCAGCCATGATTCGTCCTTCCAGGGCACCGACACGGACTCATCAGGGGCACCCTTGCTCCAGGTGTACTGCTAACCCCACTGGGCCCAGCAGTGCAGCCACTCCTGGGAGAAGCCTACAGAATAGAAGGGCCAAGACCCATTTTGGGAGAGGCTGGACTGCGAGCCCAGGGGCAGTGCCCTCTGGCTCCTTGCCTTGGCTGACTGGCTCCTGAGCCACTGCGTTTCACAGGGCTATGGTGCCCACATCTGCATCCCCCTGGCCTGACCCCTGCCTGGGCCTGTTCATGGAAAGCAAGAACTTGGGAGTTACTTTTGGGATTGAATACAGACTCCATCCCCAAACCATGTCACCCTAAGCAATCATGGAAACTTAGTGGACTGGGCTGGGGACAGCAGGACCTGTTTGGAATTCTGTGGGCAGTGCCCACTTATTATGTTCTGTTGAGCAGTTTGGTTCTTGGTTGATGTTCTACATCTTAACATGACCATAGCTGCAAGTACAAAGGTAGCAGGTGCCTCCCTGGTCATCTGGGCCAGAATATATATTCCTTTCTGTCCCGTTTGCCTTGTCTAATAACTGCCCAGAACAGGAGACAGGACATAGGCATCCAGCCCAGCCCAGTGTTTTGGAGGGGAAGTCAGGATAAGGTAAGAGCAAGGCTGCCTATGTCTTGGGTTTACTGAGTTCCAGGGGATAAACCACCAACAACAGCATCTGTACCTGAGAAAGTATTGACAAGTGATTTTCATCACTGCTGAGGATCTTCAAGGGAAGCCTGTCTGTACTGTCCTGCTCTCCAGCCCACTGCCTGCAGGCTGGCATGTTCTGATCAGTTGTCAGCTGTCTGCCTTTTCTGTCCCCGGTACTAAGAGCACTGTGATTTTCACTGTTATCTGGGCCTTCCCAACCCCGTCCTGGAATGGGGCTTGAAACAAGGGGCAGTGGTCAGTAGCTGGTAACAACTCTGTACATGGAAGCTGAGCTTCTTGAGGCTGCCAAGCGCACCTTGTTTGGGAACCGGTGTCCAGCTGGGCTGAGGGCCCTTAAGTGCTCTTCACACTGTGCATTTGTTAGTGGAATCCCTTCAGGTGAAAGATGGAACAGGATCCCAACCCTTTCTTCAATGCCAAATAAGCTGGAAGATGGTCACAATCTCCTCACAGCCCCCTCTTCACCTACAGGCCCCAGTCCTTTTGGTTATCTCATGAGCACCCTGTGGAAAGTGATTAGACAAAGTAATTGTTTACCCAGTTTCCTGTTAAGACACACAGAATGGCCCCTGGGGCTGTGACCACAAGGCCCACCCTAGTTGTAGCTCTGATAACCTAACTGGCCCCTTTTCTTAAGCTGCTGTCTCACCCAGATCAAGGAAGGCCTTCCCAGGAGACATGGGGACTGAGAATACAGCTCAGTGGTAAAGCATCTGGCCAGCATGCATGTGAAACCCTAGGTTTCATCCCCCAACACTACAAAAAAAAAAAAAGACTACAGAGCACTGAAGCCCATAGTAAGAGTGGCACAGTCCCTCCACTCTAGCCTTGGCCCTAGAGAACCATTTTCCAAACAGTCTCATGAACCTCTATTCCCGGAAAAGGGGTTTATGAAGCGTTGAGAGAAGACAAGTACTGCCCTAATTTCTGTGGCCTCTGTGCACCGAAGGACACAGCTGGTTCAAGGACTGGATCAGGGAAGGGATGAGCACCTCCCTTGACATCAGTGGTGCCAAGAGGCTGAGGAGTTCTAAAATCTGCTTAAGTCCAGATCAGAACAGTGGGGCCCCACCAGACTTTGCTTTGTCGTCCTAGCCAGGTCCCTGCACCACACAGCAGATATGAAGCCTGGGACATCCCAGGACATCCCACCTCCCTTCCAAAGCTAGCTAGTGTCTTGATGCTAGAGCCTTGTTGCTCTTCTGCCCCTGGCAAATAATCTATAGAACACTTGATTGGGGGGAGAGGGGGAGGTGGCGCCAGCTAGTTCTAATCTTTGCTGGGTCATAGGCCCCTGAGAATAGGAGACATGTTCTGGTCTTTGTGACCAGAAAAACTCACCTTTGCTCAGAACCACAAAGACTTAAAGCCTTGTCCTAATCCTTCTTGTAAGTAATGAGAAATTGAGGCCCAGAAAGGGGCAAGTCCCTAGGTCACATGGCAGAATCTGGGCTAGAAGCCAAAACCATAGCTCTAGCAGCAGCTACAAGATGCCTGTCCCCCAGGGAAAGGACAGAGGGAGGAGCGGACACAGGTGGGGCTGGGTAAATAGCTTTAATGTGTAACAGCCAACTGGGGAGGACCAGACCCCAGAGGCCCCAGCCCTTCTCCCATAATGCCCTGGGACCTGCGTGCCTGGGCTAGTCCCCTGCCTGCCCCAGCCCTGAGGCTCCCAAGTCCCAGGGAAGGGTGGGAAAGGAGGTTGGATGGCTGGAGGCTCAGCCCCAAGAATTCAGGGAGGCAGATACAGGAGCTAGTTGAATTTGGCCTTGGAGAAATCCATCTCTGGATGCTGATCCATGAACCTGGGGAAACAGAAGAGGGTGAAACTTGGCTGTGTTTGCCAAACTAACCCATTCTCCCAGTCCCAAGGTCAGTTCTAACTTTTTTTTTTTGGCAGCATGGGTGTTTGAACTCAGGGCCTCATGCTTGCTATACAGGTGCTCTTACTGCTTGAGCCTCTCCAGCAGCCCAGTTCTAACCTCTTTAGAACCCTAAGAATCCTGGAACTAGTCCAGAAAGGGCCCTACTTGTCTGAGGCTCAGTTGGGCTGGAGGATGGAAACAAAGGTGCCAACACTGGCAGTTTTCCTGTAGATGGCGATGACCGCCTTTTACCCCTGGCTTCCTACCCTGAGCTGGCCTTGCCCTCGAGGTGACCCCAGCAAATGATTAGGGTAGGCAAGCCAAGGTCACAAAGTCATAAACTTAGCTGGCTCATGCTACAAGGGGACAGAGCAGCTACTGAGTCCTACTCAGTGACCTCCTTTCACCCAGGTCTAAGCCCCCAGCAGCCATCCTCCCCACACTCCCATCTCTGAGTTGCTCACTTCTTCAGGATCTCCTGTTTCTTCTGCTCGTCTGAGGTGGGCAGCCCCATGGATTTCTGTCTCTGGTCATACATCATCTTTTCCACCATGCTGCGGGTCTCACTGTCGAGGTCTGACAGCTGGGGGCAGACATGTCAGGGATGGGTGAAGATGTAGGACCCCCACCCCCAGGGTTCTCCCCGCCTCTGCTGAAGCCTGCCCCAACAGTTGGAGCTCACCTTAGAGTTCTCAGGGTTGATCTTTTTGGTATTGATTTCAGGATCACTGGATACCAAGCGGCTCCACCACTCCATCTTATTAATCTGTGAAAAAGAGGACACCCAGGGGGTGGGAAGGGCTCACTCTGACCAGAACCCTTCCAGAACCAAACTCTCCCATCCACAAAAACCTGAGGCCAAGTTACAAATCAGCATAATTAGGGTAAGAGAAAAGTGCAGTATACCAAAAGAAAGAAAAGTAAAAAGAAAGGACATTCCGGCTTGGAGGAAAAGCAAATCCATGGGCACAGAGGGGCAAGTGAGTGGCAGCTAAGGTCAGCTAGGCCAGGCATTCTGTGCCAGGGGAAGCTGTCCTTGAACCCTTGGCCCTTTCCAGACGCCATGTCTATTTGCTGGTGTGTGTCCCACCTTTCTGAGAAGACAATGTGAAAAAGAACAGGCTTTCTGAGGGCACAGATTTTTCTACATTTTGTTCACTGTTCTCTCTCCAGCTTCCTGGCACACTGTAGAGGTATAGCCAGCTCACAAGAGCAAATCTCAGCTCCTTCCTGACTCCAAAATGAGGGAAGATTAAAAAGTCTTGTGGAGAGTAAGATAATTCTGCAAGGTCCCCAGGATGCCCCAAGTAAGTCAGGAGACCCTCCCCACCCCCCCATCAGTTCCTAGACTAGGAGAGCAGGCCTCACATACCTTCTCCAGATGCACGGTCACAACTTTGCCATCCTCAATGAGCCACGAACTCTCCTCCACCTTCACTTCATTATACAACTCCCCGTCAATGATCGCTGGCTGTCCCTTGAGCCCTACCCGGAGGTGCCGCCGCTGGATGTCCACCACTACGTCTTTCCCCTTCAGCCGGAAGTTGACACGGAAGGGCACTGCCAACTGGACAAAACACAGGCACTCAGGAGTGGTCACTAGGGGCTGCCAGGATCCCAGGCTGACTCCCTTGGCTCCAGACACCACTTACATCCAGCTCCGACAAGGTCTGGGTCCAGCGATAATTGGGCAAGTCAGCTCCATTGCCTAGGTTGGGCTTCAGTTTCCCTTTGTCCTTCTCGTCTTCCTCTTCCTCCTCTTCCTCAGCACCCTGTTCACAATCAGGGGTGCTCAGCTATTTACCTGACAAACTGGACCCTCCCCACTGGGCCAGGCCCAGGACTGGCATTGAGCATACAGTCACAAAGTAGACTGCCCCTGCCCACTCGGACCAGGGGTAGACCTCCACATCCTGGTCAACTGGGAACCAAAAGTAAAAACTGGGTTCTGATCTCTGCCTGAGAAGAGCTCAGACTATTATCACATAACCATGGGACAAAGGACATGGCTGTGTCAGACCTCAACCCACCTCAGATGATGCCTGTACAGGCACTGCTTTCTCTGGCTCCTGGGTTTTCCTGCCCGAGGATTAAGGCCAATAGGGTTTTTCATTTGTTTTATTTTCTTAACCCAAATCCATTTGTCTCATGTCTCTGCATGGAATTCCAAAGTATGGGGAGGATACCCAAAGCTGGGGTCGGGGAAGGTAAGGAAGGGCATTCAAGAGAAAACGGAAGGCTAGTTCCTAAGCCGCTCACTAGTCCTAGGTACCTCTCCAATCCATCTCACCTGCTTCTTTGGTGAGCCAAGGCTGCCATTCTTGAGCTGATTCTCTGCATCCTTTTTCTGTGGCAAAGGGCAGACAGTTGGCAACAGAGCCCCACTTCCCAGTGCCCACAGAAGACTGGCGCAGGGGTCGGGGGTGAGCCTAGCCTGACCTGGTCAATCTCCAGCTGCAGCCTCTCAGCTTCCTCATCAGTCAGCTCTTTGATCTGGGGTTCAGGGGTCTCTGCCTTGGCCTCCTTGGCCAGTCTGGCTGCACGCTCTGCCTTCTCCCGCCGCTCAGTCTCCTGCCGAGCTCGCTTCTCTCGTCGGGCCTTCTGTGCCAGCTGGTTGTGGTGGTTAAAGGTCTGTGTGATGAGCTGGGGAAGGCAGAGAAGGTGATGAGGCATCAGAGCAGGGGGCAGTGACTGAAGGCCTAGAGCCAGGGCAAAACACAGCACTCAACATCAATTTCCTCATCTGCAAAATGGGGATAACACACCACCAACCTCAGAGTTGTGATGAGAATACCTGCCAAACACCTGGCTCAATCAACAGCTATTGTAAGCAGAAGTCAAGCCTCAGCCTCTCTGTGAAACCTTTCCTGGGCTCTCAGGCCCCTGCCTGCCTGCTCCCTATCTCTCCTACCTATGTCTCCAGCCCCCAGGATAGCTCTCACCACCACACCCAGAAAGGCCACATTAGCAGGAAGCAGTCGCCTCACACCCTGTGAGCCGACCTCCCTGTCACACCCAAGAGGTACCTCCACTGCCCCCTGTTGCTATCTGGCCATGTGACCCCAAATAAGTGAACAACTTCGCCTCTTTGTAAGACTCAAGTTTCCTCATGTGTCAGGAAGAATGAAAGGAATGAATATAACAGCACCTATCAAGAGCCCAGTATGGTCACTGTTTCATCAAAGTTGGTTTCCCAACACTCCCTAACTGGCTGGGGCTATGCATGTTGGCTGGTGGGGCAGAGAGAAGCACCTTTTCTGCTGTGGAAGGTCAGTAGTCTCCAGTGTGCCACTCCCACGTGCAGCATCAGAATCACATGAAACCTTTTAGAAATGCTAGATCTCAGCCAGGAACAGTGGTTCATGCCTGTAATCCCAGCACTCAGGAAGCTGAGGCAGAAGGATTAGGAGGAGTTCCAGGCCAGCCTGGGCCACAAAGTGAGATCCTGTCTCCAAACAAAAACAAAAAGAAATGCTAGGTCTTAGGCCCCATTCCAGACCTAGACCTACTGAATCAGAAACTCTGGGAGTGTAACCCTGAGGTTATCCCTCTGTGCCTCTTTAAAAGCAGCCTTGCAATATGGTATTCTTTGCCTAGAATGAGTCTTTGTCCCACTCTCAAGTCTCCTGGCAAGCTCCTACTCACTCCCTTCTAAGATGAACTTAAGTGTCTTTTGAGTTTTACCTCCTGTCCTTTAGCAGGCCCCAGACACACCCTTAGGAAACCCAACTCTGCCCACCCACACATGGCACACACTCAAGTGCACACACCTAGCAGCCTCACATCTCCTAAGCATATGACACATAGCTAGAGGAAGGGGTCTGCAAGGACTCCTGGGCGTAGAGCTCTGCCAAATGCCTGTGGATTCTTGTTCACCTGTGCACCCCCTTTGGTTACCCCCAGCCCACTGCCACAGTGCAGTAGCTCCATGTTCTGCAAGGATAATGGCACCAAAAGCTCCCCCTCCCCCACCAAGCACATCAGGTAATCAGATGGGGTGTGTTGGGGGTGGATGAGCCACCTGAAGGCCATTCTGCCATCAAGAAAGACAGCAGGTCATAAGACAACTGCATAGCAGAGGCTGTTCCACCACAGGGCCTTGTCCCAAGTCCCTAATCAGGGGACCTTGAACTCAAGCCATTTGCCAACCAGTGGCCAAAGGGAATCGGGAACAGAGCCCTCCCCCTCTCCCAACCCCAGTGAATCATGTCACATCACATTCGTCCTATTTCTGACTAGCTCCAGGAGGTTAAACGAGGACAGAGCTGAACCACCAGGCAGAATCAAAGCCAATCACAGCAGCCTCTGACCCCTCCTCCCAGTCACCTCCCACTGAAGGACACTCTGGGGTATGGGAGCCTCCCCAGAGACAGCAACTCAGAGACTGTCATGGAGTCATAGACACGTCTTTAGGAATCACAGCCCGGCAGGAAGGGAAGGGTGAGGTTGCACAAGTGAGCACAGGCCCTCCCTGACTGGGTAGTGATGAACCCAAAGGCATAAGTTCCTGACCCCTACCACCTGAGGAAGTGATACAGTCAAACAGTAGACAACAGCGACTGCCTCTGGTGCAGATTCTCGGAGGGGGCTCTGCTGAAATTCCTCCACACCACAGCAATTCTCCTGTCCACTAGCTCTGCCCCTGCCCACATGAGAGACCACTGGGCTTGGCCCTTGCCCTTTCACCCTTCCAAGCTGCTCAACAAGGCCTCTTGGGAAGGACTGGAAGGTCTCAGCTGGGACCAGGCCCAGTGGTTCACCCCTGTGATCTCAAGTTACATGGGAGGTATAGGTAAAAGGATCACTGTCTGAAGCCAATCCCAAGCAAAAATATGAGACCCTATATGAAAAATGACTAAAGCAAAAAGTGCTGGAAGTGAGACTAAAGTGAAGTGTTTGCGTAGCCAAGAGTGGGGCCCTGCATTCAAATCCTACAACCACTAAAAAAATACAGGAATGAGGGTCTCAGCTGAGGTCCTCACTTCATCCCTAAGGTAATTCTAAGGTCCCCAACAACTCAACTACCACTGGGGCCATTGTTGTGATCACTACAGCCAACCTAGGATCTCCCCGGCTTTACCCATAAGCCAGTACCCTTAAGCAACTTTCTCCTCCCCTGTGGCTCCTTTCTTGAGGAGTGGCATCACCAAGGACAAAAGAAAAGATCACCTGTGAACATGAATACCATCCTGGGAGCTGCCTTCTCTCAGTCTGGGGCTCCAGCACAAACAGCAACAGCCCCTGCACAGAATGGCCCACAATGCAGACCCTCATCCCTCAGCCTCTCTGCCCAGGTCCTTCTGACTGGCCTGTTCCTTGCTGACCTTGACTTTTGAGACTTCCTCCGCAGCCCTCAAGAGTAGACCAACTTTTGCAAGTCATGTCAATGCCCTTCCCGAAAGGATTCAGGCTTTTCCCCTGTAGTGCTTTTCCTACAACAGGCTTCCTCACCTCTGCACCTTGCTAGTGCTGCCCCTAAACCTTGGACACCCTTCTGCCCCTCCTTGTCAGTCCTGACCCCACTTTGGCTTTCAGGTGCCCCACCCTCCTGCCAACATTTTCCACCCTCTCTCCTTCCTGAGGATCCCCAGAGTTGTACCTCAACCCTACTGACAGCACCTTCCTCCCTACCTGTGACTATCAGGGCTGTGCCTTATGGTTCCTATCTCTGTAGCACCCAAAGTACCTCAAACATTTTTCTGACGGCAGAAGAATTTTATCAAACAGCTGTTACTAAAATGATAATGACATTTTAATAACTGGATTTGGACAAACAGGAAAGTATGATATGACATGACAAAGAAACCTCCCAATGCAGAGTGCTGTGACAGCAATTTACACGGGATGTGCACAAGGAATGGGGACAGGGCTTGACAGTGTGGCACTGGTGCTGACTGGAGTCTCACCCAAAGTGGCATGTGTTCTTTGACACAGATTTCCCTCCTGACTGACACAGCGACAGCCTGGAAGACTGTCCATGAGTTTACAACAAGGGGTAAAACCCACCTCTCAGGTGCGTCATCTTTAGAACCCACTATGCAATCAAGTAATTGTTTTGAAAGCATTGAGTAAGGGGCTTTTCCTCATATCCCATCAATGCAACCAAATGGTTAGCAAGGGGAAGTTTCAGCTAACAGAGGGAGATCAGTACAGTACCAGCATTCTGCAAACCTCTAAGAATGAAATAATGGGTTTAGGAATACTCAATGATCGTTAACATCACGAAGAGAGACAACTGGGTATTATGTGCTCCTGATGGAGTATACAGACCATTATGAAACAGTTCAGGAGAACAAAAAGACCCAACTGAAACAAATCAAGCCTAGAGATCTAACTAACAACACAGGGGGACCCAAGAAGAAGCATATTACGTGACACTGTAGAAATGGGGGACACAAGAAATAGAAACAGTAGTTGGTCTTTGTCCTAGGTTCCTGACATAGAGCTCCTAAATCCTTCTGAATTTCCCAAGTGACAAGAACTTCTGTGCTTCTAATGAAGCCACTCTAATTGATATAGCTTCAGAGTAACAGGTGGTTCCCACAAAGACCCAGCAAGATCAGAGGGTTGAATCTGATATACCCACTTCACTCCCCAACCTCCCAGGAGGGAAGAGGACCTGGAGATCAAGTTGATCACCAATGGCCAATGACTTAATTAATCATGATTCTGCATGAAACCTCCACAAGAACCCCTAAATGATGGGGTCTAGAGAATTTGTGGGTTGCTGAACATATCAACTTGCTGGAAGGGACATCAATCTGAAGACAGTACAGAGGCTTCACTCCTACACATTCACCTTGCCCTATGTACTGCTTGTCTTTGGCTATTCCTGATTTGCATCTTTCATAATAAATAATAAGTAGAACATTTTCCCAAGTCCTGTGAGTCACCCAGAGAATTACAGAACCTGAGGGGGTTGTACAAACCCCTAATCAGATCATTGATCGGATGTACTAGGATTTGACTGATGTGCCAAGTGGGCAGTTTTATGGGACTGATCCCTTAACCTGTGGGGTCTACACTAACTCTGGGTAGTTGCCATAAGAATTTAAATGAATTGTAGGATAGCCAGTTGGTGTCTGGAGAACTAGTTGTGAGGTAGGAAAAAAAATCCACAGGCTGAGGATATGAGTCAGTGCTAGAATGTGTGCGAAGCATGTGCAAAGCCTGGGTTCCATCCCTAGTGCCAAAAAGAGAGGAGGTGGGGGAGAAAAGAGAAAGGAAAGGAGATGGGGAAGGGGAGGGAAATGGGAGAAGGGAAGGAAGAAAGCACACATGTGCAGGGCGCTGGCTGCTCAAACCTATAATCCTACCAACTCAGGAGGCAGAAATCAGGAGGATGGTGGTTCGAAGCCAGCCCAAGCAAATAGTTTAAAAGGACCTGTGGAGTGGCTCAACTGGTACCATGCCTGTTTAGCAAGTGTGAGGATGAGTTCAAATCCCAGTACCACCAGAAAAAAAAAGAAAGAAAGCACACATTTGACGTCAGAAATGTGAGTGAAACAGTTTACAGGATGCAATAAGCAAAATCCAGATTGTGGGAAATCTGCCCAGACAAATAACCAGGTTTCTTCACAAATAGATTGCAAGGGGGAAAATGGGGGAAAAGAGGGAGAGGGGATCTCAATCTACAGGTGCCT